TTTTAGAATAGAGAAAAATAACATCAATCAGAAATTAAGACAAGGGGCTTGGGGAGAACTTACCAAGTAGGAAGGTTTGCTTCACGAGTGTGAGGACCTAAGTTCAAATCCCCAGCACCCACATAAAAAGTCAGGCATGGCTTCGAGAACCGCAGTGCTGTGAAGAGTGGGGAATGGAGGACCTGGCCACCAGTGTAACCCCAGGTATAACGAGAGAGCCTGTGTCAAGGAAATAAGGCAGAGAAGGATGCAACAGGGCATCCAACACCTTCCTCTGGCCTCTACATGCAGGCATGCATATACACCCCCCCCACACACACACACATATGCATGAATGAATAAATACTGTGGTTTTAAGAAAAGAAAATAAGGCAATGTCTCAGACAGGAAATGGATGCCATTCTGCATACGCTATATATAGGATACAGTGAAAGTTATTATTCAAGATTTTTACAGGCGGAGGGAAATTCAGAAAAGCAGATAAACAGCATGATTATTCACATTTCTGTGGGTTATTGTGTTTATCAAATCATACAGTTAGCATAAAGTATTATTAATGTATTATGTATGCATATCTTTAACATATAAATATAGTTATGTGACCCTTAGAGACAAGAAAACATTCTAAGAAGTATATAGTCATGTGATTTCATCACTGTACAAACATCAGATTTCACAAATGTAATTGGTACTACAAAAGACACATGTAAGTTTTTATTTTATTTTTTTATGATTTACCATTATTTTTACGTGCATTGGTATTTTGCCTGCATGTGTGTTTATGTGAGAGTGTCAGATATCCTGGAACTAGAAATACAGACAGTGTGAGCTACCATGTGGGTGCTGGGAATTGAACTCGGGTCCTCTGGAAGAGCAGCCAGTCCTCTTAACCACCGAGCCATCTCTCCAGCTCCTCACATGTAAGTTTATATGTATGGTATGTTTGATGTGGCATATAGCTCCTAGGGCCATGGTGAACCAAACAAACAGAGAGATCAAGAAATACTGTAACTATGAAATGGAATGAGGTTGCCATCAGCGAAACACAATATAGCATTTTACAGTAAGCTTTTTAAAAATGTAAGTAGAAGTATTACACTCTAAAATCACAAGCAATATTGATGGTGCTAGAAATGTAGCTCAGTGGTTTGCACTTAGCATTCATGCGTCCTTGGGTTCAATCCTCATCACCAATGGATTGCTAAACCAGTAAACAAACAGTGAGCACACAAGCAGTAGCACAGAGCTTACTGTTATTATTTAACGTACTTTAACTATTATGCACTATACATGGCTATATATGCTTTGCTTTTATGCAACTGGCAACCCAGGTTTGTTTCCATCAGCATGGTTACAAACACATGAGATGAACTTCTCTCTCAGTTTCTACCCCTGTATTTTACCTTCTGCTTGTACTTTCTGACCCTCTTCTCTGTGTTATAGGTTTGTCCATCTCTCAGCCATGAACTCCACCAGGAGTTAGTTTCCCTCTAGATCAAACGCCTTTCCTAAATGTTTGAGATGCATAAGTGGTTCTTGAACATGTTCAGTAAATCAATAAATCAAAGACTATAAAGTCTCCAGAGAAACAAAACCAAACAAGCTAAATTAAAATCAACTAGTCTTCAGCTAAGTCAGCCACCATCATTAAAGGAACTGGGACAGTTATCATCTAGTTATGATCAGAAGCATGTTTGGAGCTACTTGTAAGTTTTTAGATCCGAGGAATCATAATCAGGGTATAAGTTACAATAAAATATTCAAGTCACTACAGTCTAACTACAGTAAAAATAAAACCAATGGGTTTATTTAGTTATTTACTCAGTGATTTTATAGTACACCAAAACACTGTCATCCAGTAGCATAGAAAATAAATGACAGTTCTGGTCACTCCAGGATAGCAGTAGGACCCTTCTTTGGTGAAGCAGAAAGGAAGTCTTTCTACAGCCAGATTCCTGTGCCTCTTAAGCTTTTTGTTGTCTTTTTAAATTGGCATCCATGAGGCTGGAGAGAAGGCTCAGTGGTTGAGAACACTGACTGCTCTTCCAGAGGACCCTGGTTCAATTCCCAGCATCCATAGGGCAGCTCACAGATGTCTGTAATTCCAGTGCCAGGGGACCCGACATCCATGGCAAAACACCAATGCACATAAAATAAAAATAAATAAATTTAAAAAAAATTGGCACCCACAGAATCAAGTTCAGCAACTTATTTCTTTGAGGAGATAAAGGAATATAATACCTTTATCATATATATATATATATATATATATATATATATATCACATGCACACACACACATATATACATATACATATATATCCTCTAACATGAATAATACTGGTATCATAAGTAGTACTTATTGTTCATTTTCTATTATCTGGCATTTTCTATTATAATATTTCTATTTCTATTAAAAAATGCTTTCTGTGCATTATTGCAATTAATCCTTGTGTCAACTTATAGGTTAGAGACATCAATCCCACCAGTTAACTGTCACTTGGTTGTGTGATACATACCAAGGCACACTAATCACATGTGTCCTGGTTTCTTCAGTCAGTTCTCACAAGAATCCTATGATGTATAAAATTATTAACCCCCCCATTTTGGGGAAAATTAATTCTTCATGAGATTCGCCCATACCCAGCAGGAAGCAATTTTAAGAATACAACGCCCACATTCCCAAAGAGGTGGTGTGGGGCGGGTGGTTTTTTGGTCTTTTTAATGGGTTTTGGGTCTGGGATAATTTTCAGTGTTTAGGGGGGTTGGTTACAAGTTATTGTCAAGGGTTAGGAAAAAGGCTAAGCAAAGGAGATTAGATTTAAGGTTCTGTTTAAAAAAAAAAAGAGAAAGAAAGAAAGAAAAGAAAAAGACAATTACTAGTTTTAAATACTTTACATTGGATTGGATTGTTTTATATTGTATACAAATTTGAAATTGATATTGTTAGAAAATGCTATATGTATATTTCTAATTGTATTTATACCATTCATTTAACAATGTAATGCAAATTTCTGATCCTTGAATGTTATTATTATCAACTATTAGGATATAAAGAAATGAAAGTTAGTAGTTAGACATTACCATAGAACTTGTAGTCATATTAGATATGTTTTAAAAATTGAGCAGAGATGTTTTAGACAGGTCATCTTCAAACCCTTCAGAGATCTACAGAATATGGCATTTAAAATGTTTTAATAACTTAGAAAATTTTTCTTTTTTGAGACAGGTTTCTAAATAATAAAGCTGAGAGTGGGCTGCATTAAAAATCTCACCCCAACTCCTTTTTTCTAATGAGAATATTCTCAGCTGCTTCCATGTGGTGAGAGAGCCCAGATGTCTTTGTTTTGGTCAATCCAGATATGCTGATGTCTGTAATACCTTTGTTCTTTTCCATTGGCTTTTGGGCTGTGGCTAGTTGACATCATTTCAACAACAGAGATTTAAATTAAAACTCAATTCTCTATAGTCTGAGGGAACTTGACGCTAAATCCATTTTTAAGAAATTCATAAGCATTTATACCTTCTCTTCTTCTTGGGGAAAACCACAAGGACAAGCAGAAACCACTGGGATGTACAAGAATTTTTTTTTTCCAATTACCTAAATATTGACCTATAAGGAAACAATAGAGAACCGAGATGAAACATGTGTGATTGATTATCTCTCTCTTTAGTTATTAGGTTTTCATAGTCTTCCTCTTGGTCAAATGATCATCTTTTTTACTATGTGCTCTTCTAAATATATATACTATGTTATCAATGTTATTATATATAAAATTAAGTGAAAAATGCATGTAAAGCTAATGAATAATGGAAATAAAGAAGTTATGTGGGGTAAACAGAGAAGAATTTTTCTATATAAAAAAGAATGAATGCATTTGACTCAGGGCTGTATGCAATTAATGATATTATTAATTTGGGCCTGGTTAAAAGGCAGTAGGAAACTGCTGAGAAGTTTATCATGTGATATCTTAGGACTATGGGTTAACCAAATCATGACAAAGGGGAAAAAAAAGTTTGACAATTCAATTAAAAAATTCAATTACTAAACCCTTGAAAATGGCTCATGTCTAATCCCAGCAGAAGCAGGTGGGTTTCTGAATTTGGGGCCTGGTCTACACAGTGAATTCCAGGGCATCCAGAGCTATGGAGAGAGACCCTGCCTCAAAAACAAACAATTTACTAAGTCTCGTGCTAAGTGATGAATGAATAAAAGTAAGACATGTTTTTCCCTAAGTTCAGGGAGATGTCAGGGCAGACAGGGAACCCAGGAGGATCTGGTCCACAGTAAAGACACAAGGAAATGTGGTAAGTGACCCAAGAGTTGTCTATCAAGGGCATTCAGAATACAGAACCATCACAGCCTGCAAAATCAGAGAGGATGATGGCTGTAACCATCATGCATGTGTTACCAAGAATGTAACAGTTCGAGCCAGTCCAGGAGAGGCTGATTAAAAGTCTATTGGAGTAACCTAGAGTGAGATTGTGGCTAGGGTAACTGCGAAGGAATCAGGTGGGGTGCTTGAGATGATTAACTAGTGTGTCTCCACTGATCAAGGGCCTGCAGCCTCCCCGCTCCCCATCAACACTTTACTAACTCTGTGTTGACACGTGGATGGTGTGTACATTTTTCAGCTGTGTTCTAAGGTCACGGGAAAAAAGACACAAACACAAAGTGAGTTTCCAGTAACCACGTTCTATAAATGAAACCCAGCTGTTTTTGCTTTTTTTGTTTTTTTTTGTTTTTTTTTTGTTTTGTTTTGTTTTGTTTTTTAAATGACAACTTCCTCTGGCAGATCCTTAGCAAACCGTGTTTTTCTGAATTTAAGATTCTAAATCAAGGAGTTCTGCCCCCCTCAAGTCACAACCATGTTGATTGACCCTCTTAACTAGTATTAGGTAACATGTGTAAATGATTATGTCATTAAGGACAAGAGGAGACATTAAATGTGGGAACAGGAAGATTTATAGCCAAAGCCAAAGAAGGGGGCGGTTACAAGCTCCTGTTTTCATTTTTTTTTTTTTAATTACTGAGAAGTCTTTAACATTCAGATTTTAAGTTCTCTTAGGGATCGTGAACATTCCTCTTGAAAACCATTCTTCATCTCTTAGGACAGGAAGAGAACACATAGGAAAAGGGTGGTCTATGTCCAACAAAGATAAAATTTCAGGTACAAAGTCAGTCCCAGCCTCAAACGACCTGCTGAAAGATTTAACTAGAGAAAGCAATTAAAAAGCAGAACAGCGAGAAGGCAGGTCCATGAAATATTTATACGTCAGGTAGTCGAGTACATATTTTCACATAAACACTTCAACCTCTGCAGAGCAGCAGTTGAACTCTGAGAAAGTCACGCCTATGGAAAGGAACTGTTTCTTTAAGGACCACAACAGAAAATGGAAGTCAGGAGTGAGATGAAAACTGGATCCACACAGCCCCAGTGACATTCTGAGAATCTTGCTAGGAGAAGATATCCCCGGCTAGACTGAAACATCTGTTGGGAAGTGGAAAGAAAAAAAGGACACAATTGGGCAAGGGCATGCTTCAAAAGAAGGTACACTGGCAAGAATCTGCTTTTAATCTTAAAGTAAGAGAATGGCAGAAGATCTTTAAACAGTTACACACACATTCTGATCGTATTCACACCCCATCACCTCCTCATTTGAACCTCTTCTTCTTCTGAATTAGGCCCTTTCTTGTCTTTTTTTGTGACCCACTGAGTTTCATTAGGGTTGCTTGCATGATCCTGAGTGATGTGTGGGTAAGGCTTTGAGTACCAAGATGTAACCTGACTGACTTAGATGCTGGTGGATCGTGGCAGCTTCCAGTTCCAGAGCAACGTCAGAAACATGCTCCCTCCCCCGTCCCGTCCGTCCCCCCCTCCCCCCGTAGAAAAGGATCATACACATTTTTTATTTTAAAAGTCTCCCTACCTAAGAGATGGGGTGTAGCTAGTAGCACAGCCGGTGGTTTAGCTCATTGGTGACTTTGTGGGTGTCAGCATGGGGGTTCAGTCTCCACTTCTATCCCTAGGGGAAAAACGTCTCACTTCAAACCCAGGACTGTGCATCCATTAATATTGTTGATTCTGTATCACAATGGGCGGTCCGCTTAGGTTTATTCTCCCTCCGTTCTCAAAAGCTGCCCCCCTCCCCCGGCCCGCATCCTCCACCCCTAGCTTTCTGCATCCGGACAAACTGGCTTTTGCCCCCTCTAACTGTATATATTTTACTTTGAAGGGATAAAAAAGTCGACGTGGGCAAACCGTGTAGCTTTGGTGACAATGACTGTCAACTGCGCAGACAGTTTCTCTCGCATCAAGTATTTATAATTTAACACACGGGGTCTTCTCCCCTCTGATCTTTATGTGACTGTCACCCAGGTCCCCCCACACACACACACACACACTTACCCTGCATTCATTTCCACGCAGCGCAGGAGGAACCCCGGGTTGCGTGACTGCCGGCTGGAACTTTTGGGAGCGCGGGCCACACGCAAGTGTTTGCAAGGCGATCAAGAGGAAACGCCAGGCACGTGCAAGCAGCGTCTCCAGTTTTACTGTGCCGCAGGTGAAGGGCTCTGGCTGGCCACGTCCGCTCGGTGTGCGGGGAGACGGCGGCCACCGGGGAGGAACGCCGGAGGAAGAACTTTGGAGGAAGAAGAGTGAGACAGCACAGACACGGTCCTCCACTCGGGGACACCGCGTTTCAGGTGATTTCCACCCCCGCTCTCCTCTCTCTCGCCCCCGACCGCCATCGCCTGCCTAGTGGAGAGCAAAGCGGAGTTCGAGTCCAGCGCGTCCCTCCCTCGAGACGCTCCGGGACCCGCGGGGCTCCGCGCTCGACGGTCCCCGGCGCGGGAGCTAGGAGGAGAAGAAGGAGGAGGAGAAGGAGGTCGGACTTCCCAGAGGCGCCGAGCCTCCGCGCTGCCCCCCAACCCCGTCCCCTCTCTCCCCTCCCATCCTTCACCCCCCTCCCCCGGGGGAGGGGGAGCCTGACCCACCGCGGCGCGCGGCGGCGGCGGCGGCGGGGAAACTACAGCTCCCGGCA